AATCAGCATCATCAGCATCAGTATCACCATCATCATCAGCAGCAGCATCGTCATCATCATCATCGTCGTCATCATCATCGTCATCATCATCAGCATCATCATCAGCAGCATCATCATCGTCATCAGCATCCTCACCATCATCAGTATCAGCTGCATCATCATCATCATCATCATCATCATCATCATCATCATCATCATCATCATCATCATCACCATCACCATCAGCATCATCACCATCAGCACCATCAGCAGTACCATCAGTTTCATCATCAGCAGTGTCATCATCATCCTCATCATAACAACCATTATCATCAACATCATCACCTTCATCACCATCACCATCATCATCAGCATCACCTTCATCATCGTCATCATTACCATGATCAGCAACAGCATCATCTTCAGCATAATCACTCGCAACATCATCATCAACAGCATCATCATCACCGTCGTCGCGGTCATCATCATCATCATCATCATCAGCAGCAGCATCGTCGTCAGCATCATTATCAACGCAATGAGAATCAACACCATAATCAGCATCGTCAGCATCATCACCATCGTCATCACCACCATCAGCATCACGATCACCAGCATCATCGTCATCACCAGCATCATCATATTTGTCATCCTCCTCGTCGTCCTGGACGTCGTCGTCGTCCGTCGTCGTCGCCATCAGCATCACCATCATCATCATCAGTGTCATCACTGTCATCATCGTCATCGTCATCATAATCGTCATCGTCATCATCACCCCAATCAGCATCATCATCATCATCATTATCATCATCATCATCAATAGCAGCAGCATCCTCATGGTTATCATCATTGTCGTCGTCATCATTACCAGCATCAGCATCACCATCGTCGTCATCATCACCACCATCATCATCATCGTCGTCGCGGTCGTCATCGTCGCCTTCGTCCTCGTGGAAGTCGTCGTCGTCGTCGTCCGTCGTCGTCGTCTTCGTCATCACTGCCATCAGCTTCGTCGTCACCGTCATCACCACCAACACCACCACCATCAGCATCATCATCAGCTTCATCATCAACACCATCAGCATAATCTTCATCAGCATGACCAGCATCGTCATCATCATCATCATCATCATCATCATCATCATCATCATCACCACGACCATCATCATCAATATCACCACCATCATCATCATCATCATCACTGCCATAATCGATTCGAACAGCCGCCACCTAGAATGTTTGACTGACACGGTGGCGGACTGTCCGCAGACAGCTGGATCACAAATCACAACCTTCCTCATGATCAGATATGCCAACATTGTGTTTATCGTAACCCTCCCCCGTCACGATCATCCTCCACCCCTCGACCTCTCGTCATTATCACATCCACCAACTCCCGTCCTATACCTTTAAAACTGTTCCTTGCCATCCTCCCCCTGGCCCTTCTGCTCCTCCTCGCTTCTCGCTCATACCGTTTCCCGTTCCTCCTCCTCTTCCTCCTCCATGGTCATGGTTTTCCCGTCCCTCCTGGTCCGAATCCTCGTCCTCTGCACCGTGATGTTCCTTCTGCATGCTCACCCTGCACGCTGCATGCTCCTCCTGTCTACCATCCTGCCGATTCCTCCTCCTACATACTGTCGGCCAGGCCTCCTCAACCTCCTGCCTCCCCTCCTGCTCCTCCTCCTACCTCTCGCTCGTTCATTCTTTCGGGCGCCTCATGTCACGTACGATGAAAGGCCTACAACCACGACGTACAGCTAAATCAAACGAGCACGTTTGGCAGCATTGGATGAGATACCAAATTTGGTGAGACTAGCAACGCAGTCGTCTAGTGTGACGGTCTCGGGAAGAAACAACGACAGAGACGCATCGAAGAAGATCCTCCGAAGGCGACAGGGATACTATGTCGATGGCCGTCCTTGTTGACGACGGCCTCCTACTTCCTCTCGCTCGGCATCCTAGTGCACTTTTCTCCTCCTCCTCCTCCTCCTCCTCCTCCTCCTCCTCCTCATGATCCACCTCCGAGTCCTCGTCCTCGTCCTCCAGCGCGACCTCGCCCTCATCATCATCCACCTTTTCCTCTTGCTTCAGTTCCTCATCGTGATCATCGTGAGTCCCAGCAGCATCCTCAGCATCCTCGTCATCATCAGCATCCTCATCATCCTCATCATCATTATCATCATCCTCATCATCATCAGCAGCATCATCATCAGCAGCAGCCACATCATCAGAATCCTCATCGCCATGACCATCAGCATCAAAAGCATCACCATCACCACCACCATCACCTTCAACAGCATCAGCATCGCCATCGGCATCATCAGAATCATCACCATCGTCATCAAAAAACAGCACCATCATCATCACCACCATAACACATAGAATCGTCACCATCACCGACCGTGATCATCATCATCATCATCATCATCATCATCATCATCATCATCATCATCATCATAATCGTCACCCTCGCCATCATCATCATCATCATCATCATCATCATCATCACCAGCATCATCATCATCATCATCGTCATCATCATCACCATCACCTTCGCCATCACCACCATCATCACCATCATCATCACCATCATCACTACCATCAACATCACCACAAGAACCACCATCAACAGCACCATCACTATCACAACCACCAACATCTGCCTCCAACTCTTCTTCCAACTCATCATCGTCACCTTCGTCAGCCTCATCGTCGTCATCCTCATCATTGGTATCAGCAATATCATCATCATCATCATCACGATCATCAACATCATCAGCATCATTCTCTTCATCATCATCATCATCATCATCATCACCATCATCGTCGTCGTCGTCAGCAGCAGCAGCATCACCACCAATATCATCGTCATCATCAGCAGCATCAGCATCGTCATCATCATCATCATCATCATCATCATCATTATCAGCAGTAGCAATATCATCATCACCACCATCACCAACACCATTATCAACCGCCTCATCAGCGTCTTAACCATCATAATCATCAACGTCGACATCGTCATCGCTATCGTCATCGCAATCGTCATCATCACCAGCAAAATAATCATCAGCATCATGTCATCATCACCATCGGCATCACCATCACCATCACCAACATCATCATCATCATCATCGTCATCATCAGCATCATCATTACTGTCACCGTAATCGTCATCGTCATCGTGGCCCTCGCCATCATCATCATCATCATCATCAGCATCATCAGCAGCATCAGCATCATCATCCTCATCATCATCATCATCATCGTCATCATCGTCATCATCATCACCGTTTCTACCACAATCAGCGTCACCATCACCATCACCATCACCATCATCACCATCATCATTATTATTATCCTAGAGGCGTGCGGAGGGCAGGAGACGGGAGGAGTGCGAGGAAGGGAGGAGGAGGAGGAGGAGGAGGAGGAGGAGGAGGAGCAGAAGGAGAGGTAGGGAGAGGAGGATGAGGGGGATGAGGATGAGGATGGATAGGAGGAAGAGGGGGGCAGGGACAGGAGGAGAAGGACAGGAGGACGCTGAGGGAGGAGGAGGAGGAGGAGGAGGAGGAGGAGGAGGAGGGGGATGACGGAGGATGACGACGACTACAGATCACGACGCAGACAGATGACGACAGACACCCTACCGTTTCCCCTCTTTCTCCTCATTCTCCTCATTCTCCTCCTCCTGCTTCCCCTTCTCATCTTCCTCCTTCCCCCTCTGGAGGCCCCAAGAATTTTTAAAGAGGCGCCAAGAGGATCTTCGGAAGCCCCAAGAGGCTCTTTCAGAGGCCCCAAGAGGCTCTTCAGAGGCCCCAAGAGGCTCGTGGGAAACCCCAAGAGGTTCTTGAGAAGCCCCAAGAAACTCTAGAGGCCGCAAGAAGCCATACAGAGGGCCCAAGAAGCCCTGCAGAGACCCCAAGAAGCTCTAGAGGTCCCAAGAAGCCTCTACAGAGGTCCCTAGAAGCTCGACAGAGGGCCCAAGAAGCCCTACAGAGGCCCAAGAAGCTCTACAGAGGTCCCAAGAAGCCCTACAGAGGCCCCAAGAAGCTTTGCAGAGGTTCCAAGAAACCAGAGGCCCCAAGAAGCTCTAAAGCTCTACAGCAGTCCCAAGAGGCTCGTCATACACGTTTTGTCTATTTTTTGGGGGGGGGTCTGGGTCTCTGCCTGCAGGCCAACACCACCCTCTGCCGCACCCGATGATATATAGGCTCCGGAGCACCCTTGGCCACACAAACACTCACCGGGCCACACGAACACCCAACGGGCCAGACAAACACCTCTCGGGGAGGGAGGGAGGGAGGGAGGGCGGGAGGGAGGGGGGAAGGGAGGGAGGGAGGGAGGGGAGGGGGGGATTCGAGGGCAGAGTTTATACGCAGATTCAACGCCTGGGGAGCTGACGCCCCAGGATCCCCAAAGGCAGTGGATATGGATATATCACGATAGATCTACGGGTCCCTGGGCAGAGAAAATCGATACCCACTGCCTCCCAGGACACTGTCTACCCACGTGGTTGAGGTGTACGACGTCCCCCCGCGGACAACAAGAGGAGGAGAAGGGCAGCGGCAGGAGCATTACACAATTTGTCGATGAGCATGCGTACCTGATTGAAGGGGTCCTGGGACGCACAGATAAACACACACAAATAAGAGGATTCCCCAACTTTTCCCATATTTTCTGGGTCTTTGTCTTCCCCCCCACTTCACATACTTCCTCATATTTCCCTGGGAGTGGACGATTCATTGTGTCTGCGTGTTTTTCCCCTTCCTGATTTCCAGGGGGCAACTTTCCATCCTGGATCCATATGCTTGATGGCCCCAGGGCCCAAAGAGAGCCCCCCAAAGCCCGAAATGGATGATGACGGAACCGGAAAACAGTCACTCGAACGTGCGGAGGTGCAGCCGCGCTGCCACACCGTCGGGGCGTTGACCTAAGGAACGATGAGTAAGGAACGAGGCCCCTTTTGCCCACAAGTTGAACTTCGATTTCCAGTGGAAAACCTCAGGAAAACCGAAGGCAAACTGCAGAACAATCAAAGAACACCGAGCCCCTCCCCAACGAAAAGGGTTCCTTCTGCAGCGCCCCGACTGTAAGGACCGCTGGACGAAGAGCGGTGGGGCTTCCATGGCCGCGGCAGGCCTCGGCCACGAAGAGAGGCCCCTCGAAAACCCAGGCCCGAGGAGCGGCCCGAACACCGGACCACCCCCCCCTGAGCCCAAGGTGGTCGTGGTCCTCGCTCCAGTGCCTTCATCGGCTACACGCAAGAGTGACCCTGGGTAAGAGTGACCTTTGGTGCGCAGCTTTTTGGGGGGCCACAGGGGGGCCAAACACGAGCGCGCGAGACGCGACTACCGCATCGCGCTCGGTCATCGGGGGGCCCCGGTGGGCCCGCACCAAAGGTCACTCCGGCGAAAGGTCACTCTTACGTCTGGTCGACCAAGGTGGTCGTGGTCCTCGCTCCAGCGCCTTCACTGCATGAGAAGGAGCCAGCCTGCGATGGGGTCCCGTTGACGATGTCGGCGTCGGAAGGGCTCTCTGGGGGCCGGGCTCGCAGTATCTGTCCGGGGTCCGGGCTCTGGGGGTCGGGCACGTCGCCGTCCTCTCCCCCGATGTGCACCACCTTCGTGTCCTCGGCCTCGCAGTATCTGTCCCAGAAGCCCTTCGCGGGGGTCGAAGCATCGGGCAGGGCCTGGGCCTCCCCTCCCCCTCCCCAGTCCCCCCCACCCTCCACCTCTTCTCCTCATCCTCATCCTCATCCTCCTCCTTCACCTCCTCCTCCTCATCCTCCTCCTCCCTCAGCGTCATCCCGTCCTCCTGTTCCTTCTCCTCCTGTCCCTGCCCCCCTCTTCCTCCTATTCATCCTCTTCCTCATCCTCTTCTTCCCATTATCATCATCAGCATCAGCATCAGCATCAGCATCAGCAGCAGCAGCAGCAGCATCATCATCATCATCATCATCATCATCATCATCACCACCACCACCACCACCACCATCATCATCATCATCATCATCATCATCAGCAGCAGCATCAGCAACAACAACATCAGCATCATCATCATCATCATCATCATCATCATCATCAGCATCAGCATCAGCATCAGCAACAACATCAGCATCAGCATCATCATCAGCATCATCATCGTCATCATCATCAGCAGCAGCATCATCAGCAGCATCATCATCATCGTCGTCATCATCGTCGTCATCATCACCATCATCAGCATCACCATCACCATCAGCATCATAATCAGCAGCATCAGCATTATCATACTCATCACCATCATCAGCATCATCATCACCATCAGCATCATCATCAGCATCATCATCAGCAGCGCCAGCATCATCAGCGTCAGCATCATTAGCATCAGCATCATCATCGCCACCACCACCATCACCGTAACATAATCATCGCCATCATCAGCAGCAGCATAACCATCACCAGAATCCTCCTCATCATCATCAGCATCAGCATTGTCATCGTCACCGTCATCGTCTTCAGCATCACCATCAGCAGCAGCAACAGCGGCATCGTAATAATCGTCATCCTCACCCATCATCATCATCATCGTCATCATCAGCATCATCATCATAACCGCCGCCGTCATCTCCATCACCCTCACCATCATCAACATCACCATAAAAATGGTCGCCAACATCAACAATAACAACAACAACAACAACAACAACAACAACAACAACAACAACAACAACAACAACAACAACATCAGCTGCACGATCAGCATCATTACCGTGAGGATCATCACCAACATCACCATCATCAGCAGCAGTATCGTCGTCACCGCCATCATCACCGTCGTCATCATCGTCATCACCATCATCACCACCAACCACCACCAGCATGATCTCCCAGCTGGAGGCAGCAGCGGCCATGCTGGTGGGCGCCGAACACGACACCGTCAACCAGAGGGTCCACCAGCAGATACTGGAGCACCGCAAAATCAATCGCTCGGACAAACCCCTCGGCCAGAGCTACGACGGGTACAAGGACGCGCTGGCCCGGGCGCAGCGGCATCTAGCGCAAGCCCAGGAAGCCCAGGAGCTGCCCGCCAACGCCGTCTCCGTGGCGGAGAAAGAGGTGAAGCAGCTGACGACGGAGCTGGCCGACCTCGAAGCCTTGGTGGCAGCGGCAAAAGATAAGGACACGGACTGCAAGCCGAAAGCCCAGACCGAGGTCTCCAGGAGTCCATGCAAGCGGCCATCCAACAGCTCCAGCAGCTCGACGGCGTGGGGGCCACGAAGCCGAACGACCTTCTCCTCAAGTTGTTCGAGGCCACCACGCAGGAGGCGCACAAGCGGGCCGAACCCCTCCGGGCGGAGGGCCCCAGGCACCACCACTCGAGCCAGGGGCCGCCCGCCCTCGGAGAGGACGTTCGTCGGACCCGCCCCCCCCCGTGGCGGCTGCAATACAAGCACACCACTGCTGACCTACCAGGCGCCCCTGCTGAAGCACTTCGGGGCCTCAGGGGACAGCCAACCTTGGGTCGGGCACGTCCTCCTGCAAGCGGATTTGCAAGAAAAACTATTACGCTACCGAGGAATCCCACATGTTTATCGTGCGTCTTGCGCGATAGTAGCTGACGTAGAACTTGCGAGCATGTCGCTCGTGGCCGCTGATTCGCCGACATCGAAGGCGGCGCAGTTCAAGCCTCGGGGGCCTGACACGCCGTGCCAAAAGAGACGATTACAACGCCAAAGGGGAATTGAGTTTTTAAGCGTGCGTCGCCAAGGGGCCACGTCGATCACATCCCCGTAAGACTTTGCGCCGGCTCCACCGAGCACATCAGGCTGCAAGGCGAAAAGGCGGAGGGTAGGCACATCCATTCTGTAGGATCCATCGTTGGTAGAGTGTTTGTTGAGCGCCCTCCGCAAGTCGGCATCGTCGCCCCTTCTCGACGGTCGGTCGGCACTCTGGATCAACAACCGTTTCGCCTTAAATTCCTTTTGCCATTTGACGGCTCTCGTATGCGCTTGCGACGGCAAGTTCTCGAGCCATATTGATTCTCGCATTTCCCGCGACCACGGCCCTTGCGACCGACGGCAGTCCGTCCTCGCCAGCGCCGGGGACAGCAGAATGCGGGGCGCACCAGTGGACCGAACAGAAGTAGCCAACAGAGCTGCCGGAGACCGCGGCGGGGTGAAAGCCTGCGCGGGCGGAGCTTTCGTTGGCGTGGCCTTCGCGGGCGTGGTCTTCGTTTCGTGGGAGTGGCACGCTGTCCTCAGGAAGGTACCGAATCAGCGCCCGCGACGCTGGCCTCCTGCGCTCGCCGAACCTTCGCTGGCGGCGGGCCACCGTCCGCCCCATTCCTGCCGGGCAAGTCGAAAGAACATATTTCGGAAACCCGCCCGAGGAAGGTTCAGTAAGTACCTCACCAGGCACTGCCTCGTTGCATCGTCAGCGCCTCGTTTACGTGGCATATCTTAGTACTTGGTCAATAGCGTCTCGGACCACCAGTTCATCAGCTGTCGGTGGTAGGCATGAAATGCGCATTGCACCGACACGTTCCCATGCCTGGCGACACATCCGCGCAAACCATCCAGGATCACCTCGGCGCCTATCTCTAGCATTGATATCTTGAGCTGCTCGCACGGCGGTGGCAGCGCGGTCATGGCGCATTCGGGTGCCATGACGGGGACCGTACCTCTGACTGGGAATCACCGGCGGTCGCCCGCGTTCACGTATCCAGCGGTCTGAGCCGGCATAGGGTGACTACAACTCGCGATGACGATGGTGATGATGATGATTCCAATTCAATGATTCCACGCCTGCTATGTCCTGGGCGACCTGGGCGCATAGCGGCCGCGTTGGGGGACCACCCCTTGCGCAACTCCTACAGAGTCGAAGAAATTATGCGCGTGCTATGCCTTTGGCGACCGTGACCACCCCCAGCGGATGCAGTGCGACGTGTACCCTTGGCAGTGGTTCATTGATCGACTACTTGGTTGTCAAGAGGGGTTTTGCTGACCAGCTTAGAGTCAAGCCTTTCACGCTAGTTCCATGGAAGACACACGTTGCCCTGGATATTGAGATCCTTTCTGGCCACGCGGATTGGCGGCATCAGGTTTTGGATTCTCCGGGTGAGCTTCCACAAAGACCCAGGCCCAAGAAGGCCTCAGACCCTGACAGCAAGCGCTCACGGCGCCGCGAGGAAGCTCGAGTCCGCAGACGAGAACGACTCAGCGCCGAGCTGCAGGGTGCCTTCGCTGATGTCAATCCTCCTGATGATGAGGTCCCTGATGATGAAGCTGAACAGGTACCCTTTCGGGTGGGGTCGGACGCTTGGGCCGCAGCGGCCTCTGAGGTTCGACCTTGGACACGAACCAGTTCGGACTCGATGGCCTGGGCTTTCCCCACAGGCGCGGCAGACGACGCCCAGCCCATTTCCCAGTCGTATCAACGCTGGGTATCTACCTTGGAACTGGCTATTTTACGTACCGAAGGCATTCCGACCGACCAGCAGGCCCAGTACATTGGACGTGGCGATTTGCATGGCCTTACTCGTCGCAAGCTACATCCGTCCCCAGGGCGCACTCATATGCGTAATCCTACTATGGAGTTATGGTGGACGATGTCGCCGTTGGTCACACGCTACACTTCCCTGCGCCGACACAACAGGGACCCACTGCAGCAAGAGGCCCTGACTACATCCATTTCCAGCCTGATTGACCAGGCCGAGGCCCAGCCGAGGGCCGTTCTATTCGGCCCCAGGGCCACTCACCAGGAGGTACAGGAGTGGTTTGATGTGGCCTGTCTCATCGTTGGGCCGCCTCTGGACGTCGAAACCCTGGAGCTGCTCGTTGAGGTCGGAGACTAGGTGCTCGCGTTCCTGGGGCAGGGCCTCAGTGTCCTCGGGCGCCGCCTACGTCAAGTGGGCCAGGGACTGCTGGCGCACCAGACCATCTGTGGCCCATCGGCACGTGCGCGACCCTCAGCAGCCTGCAGCGTTGGAAGTCCCTGGCGATGGACCTGAGGAGGCCACTGGCGACCCCGACAGGCTCGTGGAGCACAGGCTGCAGGCGTGGCGGACTATCTGGACTGATCCGCATGCGTCTCACGAGGACCTGTGCAAGGGTATGCAGTTGTTGCTCCAGCACGCTCGCGGCCACCCCATCAGCGAGCTTGAGGACGATTGCAACCTGGTGTGGATGCCCTCAGCCCCATCGACATTCAGAGGTTGCCGACCGAGGGGCAGCAGCAGTTCGGCGACTTGCTGCGTGAAGCTGAAAGGGTAGGCTCGTGGCCTGTCCAGCTTCTGCTAGCCGTGGGAGCGACCGCCCCGAAACCTTCAGGAGGTGAAAGGGTTATCGGTGTTTTGCCGACCTGCATGCGAGTCTGGTCGAGAGCTCGGGCCCCGATCACGGACCAGTGGCCCCAGGACCTCGGTGAGTTTTGGGACACGGCGATCCGAGGGCCCTCGGCTCTTAGAGCGGCCCTGCAGAGGGCCATCTTAGATGAGTCCTCCTTCCAGCTGGGTGTCACCTCGGCCTCCCTGCTCCTCGACCTCGAAAAATTGTATGGCCACGTCAGCATGCTGTTACTGATGCGTGTTTCGGTCGAGCAGGGATCCCCATCGATTGTCACCCTTTTAGAAGTGCAGATGTTCCTTGCTACCAGGATCCTTCGGTCCAGGAACATCGCGTCGGATTTAACTGTTCCACCCCGTTCCATTGTTGCGGGCTCTGCCCACGGTGTCAAACTCGCCAAGGTTTTCCTGGGTCCGATTTTGTCGGCCGCTCATGCGGCCTCGGGGGTCCGTGCCCCTGTCTCCTCCGCGGGCCTCTGGACCTTTGTTGACGACACCGTGGCGCGGGCCGAAGGTACTGAGGAGAATGTTATAGCTCAGCGTTCTACGGTTGGCCAGTCTTTCGCCCGTTCGTTTGCCTTGCATCAGCTGCCCGCGCCGCCGAAGACCAAGGCCATTGCATCCCCCCCCACCCCCCCCCCCCCCCCCCTAAGGTTGGGAAGCGCATTGCGGCCAACCTGAGGGAGGTAGGCATCCCAGCCTCCCTGGCGGTCCAAGCTGTTGACCTGGGTTGCGACACGGGAGGTGGGGCTCGTCGGGTGGTCGTTAAGCTCTCGGACCGTCAGAGGAAGGCCCGTCCACGTGCACAGCGTATTCGACGTTTGCGACGCCACACCAAGGCGGCCAAAGTGTCCCAGGGGCTCTGGCTACAGGGGGCGCTTCCCCAGGCCGTTCATGGCCAACAGGCCATGGGCCTCTCCCCCTCATCAATCCTAGCCTTGAGGCGTCAGGCGCCCCAACCTGTTGTCAGTAAAAGTCCAGGCCGTTGTCTGACCACGGCGCTTTCTCTATGTTATGCCGAACGCGAGCCCTTCATCGCTTTGAAGGCTCAGGTTTTATTCACGTGGTTTGACATGTGGAATCGGTTCCGTGAGCTGCACGCCCGCATCACCCGCTCGTGGCATCACATTCGGGGCCGCCTCGACCTTATGGCCTCGAAACGCTGTCGTCGGGTGAGGGGCCCGATTGGGGCCGTCGTCGCCACGTTACTCGATGTTGGCTGGAAGCCCATGTCCCCCGTTGAATGGCACACACCTGTGGGTGACCAATATGAAGTTTGGCACATTCCTGATCGGGGCGACATTGAACGTCTGGAAGGCGACTTTGACGTCGCTGAATTGGTCGACGATTTCAGAGAAGATTTGAATGCTGTCTTGTGGGCTCAGGCATCGCCCCATTCTCACGGCGACGACCTGGCCGAGGGGGCTGACCTCCAACCTTTGCGCCAGGAGCTGAGGCGTCTCGAGCGACGGGATCAGTATGAGCATGTAGGCCTTCTCACGACTGTCGTGTCAGGGGGCCAATGGACTCACGTCCGCCAACATGAGGCGGGGTATGCTGTCGCCACGACCTGCCCCCGATGCGGGTTGGCTCCTGAAACGCTGTTTCACAGAGTGCGGGAATGCCCCAAGAATTGCAATCATGAGGCCTTTGAGCTCCCTGACGGCCTCTGCCACCAGGCCAGAGTGGGCCGCGAGGCTAACCCCGCCTTGTGGCTCCGTGGCCTGCCTCCGAAGTCTTTAACTTGCCCTGGGTTCAAGGACGGAGGGGCGGATGTGGCTTGGGAGGTGGGGTCGTCGCCGTCGTTAGTCGAAGGATCCTCTGTCGCCGCGGCCAGGTCCCCTGCGGGGCTCCTGCGGGTCTTTGGAGACGGCTCTGGAGGTGCGTTCAGCTCCGACCCACGCCGCCGACGTGTCGGCGCGGCTGCTGTGTTGGTGGCCTGGGATGGCACCAAGTGGTGCCGACTAAAGGGTTGGGCCTCCACCATCTCAGGACGCCGTCAGACGGTCCCCAGGGCGGAGCTGTTGGCGTTTGAGCTGGCGCTCCGCAACGTCCCAGGGGATTTCGAGTATGTCACTGACAACCAGCCCCTTTTAGAGGGGTGGCGGTGGACCCCCTCCCACCTGGATCCCACTGACCCCTCCTTGTCGGAGGACCAGGTTCTTCTCGCGGCGGGTAATGAGTCTGCTGACGAGTTGGCAGGCCAGGCTGCTCAGGAGTCTTGGGACCTTGCTACTCGTGATCAGCGCATCCCTGACACTGATTGATGGGACACCACCCGTTTTCTTATCCGCCAACGGGCCGCCCAAGGGTTGGCGGAGTCCATTCGAGTGGCCCCTTGGACCGCGGACAGGCCCAAGCTGGGCCGTTCCAGTGTCACCAAACTTCAGGCTGCCCTTAGAGGAAGCTCGCACTGTTTAATTAAAACTGGCGCGAAGTGGATTTGCTCACTTTGCTCGACGATCGTTCCCTCGGCGAATGTTTTCGAGGCGTGCGGCCAGCCCTGCCCCGCTGTGGACGACGGCGAGACGTTGCAGGAGTTTGGCCATGGGATTTCTCGGGTGAGGCGGGCGGTGACGGTGGGGGGGGATTCTCTGCATCCCAGTCACTGTTTGCATTTTTGGCCCGAGCATTCGTTGTATTTCTGCGCTCGGTGTGGCCGATCGGCTGCAGTCGACCCGAGGCAACTCCTCAGCGAATGTCCCACGTGCTCTAAGAAAGGGCACGAGAATCTCCTTCGAATTCGCCGAGGGCTTTTCCCTGGCCACAAGGGACCCTCGGCCCCTATCTTGGAGGCCGCTGTCTGTCGGGTCCGACGCGCGGAGGGGCGTCGGTTAATCCCTGGCTCTCGCTAGTCCCGCCTGCCACTGTGACTGTGGCGATCATGACACTCATGACACTCCTCCTCCTCCTCCTCCTCCTCCTCCTCCTCCTCCTCCTCCTCCTCCTCCTCCTCCTCCTCCTTGCGTGCGCGCGAGAGTCATGAGGTGTGGAGCCGTGAGGCCCCAAGTCTGAGGCTGTGCGTGCTGTGCGTGTGCATATGGCTTGTGGGCACTGTCGCTGGCAGACACCCTGCCAGGCAGTGCCCTGCCACTTGGCCCAAGAAGGGGCAACCCAATCTTGCTCGGACTTCCCGTGGTCGCCATCCGTGCCCGCAGGGCGCCCCGGAGGCGGCCGGGGCGGCACTGTGAAGGGGAGTTTGGCCCCGCCCTTCCTCTGCGCGGCCGAGGTTTTGCTGGGGATCTCTTGGGACGTGGTCCCCAGTGGTTACTCCTTGGAAACTCCTCCCCCTCCCATTCGGTCGTTCCTCCCCTCCCGATGTGCGGCTCTTGCCCGTTTCTGGGCCCCGGACCTTACGGTCCCTGCACCCCGCCTCGTCGACCCCGTGCTCCTCGGCCCAGGTGTCGCGCCTCCACATTGACGTCTTCATGGGCCTCGCTGGGCACTTGGAAGGCTGGCGGAAGTAGCACCCGGGCCGCGACGGGTACCCGCTGATGATGTCGTCGTCGACGCGTCGGACGGGCTGGCCATCCCTGTCGAGCTGGAGCGCCTCCACCTCCGAGGGCGCGGGCGGGCGGCCAGCGGATTGCAGGGAATGGGGACGAAGGCCAGTACGAGACCGATGTTGCATCACAGCAGCAATTCGGCCCCTGACGTCCGCCCTGGGCTCGGTTTGGTGAAGTGATGAATTTCGGGGTCCTTCCTTACGTGGGAAAAACATCACTTCCCTACTCTGGGGCCCCTGGGGCCTCGGTGGGCCCTGGGGCCCAAAATTAGTGAAGTGGTGGTTTTCGGGCCTCGGAGCCTAGTCCAGACCCGTCCAAAAAATCATCGGCGCCCGGCCCCTCCCCGGGTCCCGCCGGACCCGAAGGCCGAAGCGGATCCGGCCGTGGCGACGGAGGAGGAGGAGGAGGAGGAGGAGGAGGAGCCAGGCAGGAGCAGATCTGATTTGTTGAAGGTCCGGAGGTGTTGCATTGGCGCGTCGCGGCGGCGGCCCCTGCGACGGCACGCACAGTGCCTCACAAGTGGTGGGTAGAGAGTGTCGCTCCGCTCCGCGGGGCGGAAAGCCAAGACGAAAAGTTTGCAACGCTGACGCCTGGGAACTGGGACGTGGTTACTCCAGATTTCGTAAATAAAGGGAGGGGGGTCTCATTTCGGGGGGGGTCTCTTCCAGGCTATCTTGGAGGGCCTGGGGGGGTCTGGGGACGATGTTTTGGAAGGTTCTCCCACGGGGGAGGTCTGAAACGGCTTGTCATGGAGGGTCCAGACCCCCTCCCTTTTATTACGAAATCTGGAGTAACGTTGACGCTTGGGAGCCGGGACGTGGTTGGCGTGTCGCGCCGAAGCATAAGTGGGCCAGAGCCAGCGGCGCGACCCGCCAAGCAAACGTTCCTGACAGCAGATCTGCGTCGAGGTGGTCACAGGGGTTGGATATATAGGGGGGGGGGGGGGAGGGGGGCACTGCGGGATGCAAGGCGATGCCTCCCTGCGGGTGGTGGGCCCTGGAATAGCAAAGGGGGGGTCCGCCCCCCCTACCCGTCCTGTCCTGGGGCGGGGAACAGCGCTCCTGGCGGCGAAAGATTGATCGCTCTTCCCTCCGGGGATTGTCGTCGTCGTTCGCCGTCATCGTCGGCCGTCGGCCGTCGTCGTTCGTGGTGGTCGGTTCGCCGTTGCACTAATCTTCGCCCGACGTCGCTGGCGGTCTTGGGCCGCCGAAGCATGCTGCATTCGTCGCCCCAAGGAAGTTTGACTACTCGTGGACTTACAACACCTCACTGCGAGAGGCAAGACAGTACTTCCCTCCACCCGAATATCAGCCCCGTCTTCGCAGCACCAGCACTCCATGTACAGACCTCGCGCGATACACCTGAAAGCGGGAGCACCCGCGAGGCAACCGCAAGACGGGGCTTGCGTTCAAGGGTTTCTACAATGCTTGCACAAGGCCGTCCCCGCTCGGTGCACTATCGCAGCTGCCCTACGGTTCCCTGGCTCGGTGCCCTGTGGCTGGGGCCCTGGGGTTCCCGCGGTGCCGCAGTCGGCCGTCCACGCTGGGTGCCCAAGGGTGGCGACCTAATGGACTCCCTGGCCCGGTCCACAGCTCTGCTGTGCTTTGCATCGCACCACGTTGCTTGCACATCGGGAATGCCAGACCCTGATGCTTGGGTCCACAGGCTGGCATTGTAGTAACCTGCGTGCTTATGAACCTGGCGCGACCCCAATGAGGGGAAAGCTCCCCAATGCATGGGAGCAGTGCACAGCACGGCATTTCTTGCAACTGCTTGGCATTATGTAGTACTGCTTGGCATTCCTTGGCATTGCTTGGCATTGCTTGGCATTCCTTAGCATTGCTTGGCATTGCTTGACGGTGCTTGGCATTGCTCGGCGTTGATTGGCATTGCTTGGCATATTGTTTGGCGTTGTCTTGCCTTGCTTGGCATTTGTTGGAATTGATTGGCATTGCGTGGCATTTGCTGGCATTGGGTGGCGATCCCTTGCATTGCTTGGCATTGCTTGGCATTGCTTGGCCCTGTTTGCGTGCGTGACGAGGCAGCAAGGAAGCAAGACCAAGGAACCAATACTAAGGAAACAGGGCGCCAAGACCAAGGAACCAACCAAGAAACCAAGAAACCAAGATCGAGGAACCACGGAACCAAGTAACCAGGGACCCAATGAACCAAGACCAAAGAACCAAGGAACCAAGAGACTGAGGAACCAAGGAACAAAGGACCGAATGAACCAAGACCCAGGAACCAGGGAACCAAGACCAAGGAGTCGAGACCAAAGGACCAAGGAACCAAGACGAAGTAACCAAGAGACCAAGGAACCAGGAACCAGGGAACCAAGACGAAGGAACCAAGGACACAAACCAGGGAATCGCAAGGCCACGTAAGGAAACAGGACCGAAGAACCCCGGGGAACGCCCCTGCAAGGAAACAGGGCCAAGTGACCCCAGGGCACCCCGGGGCCACCGGGCCCCGCACCCACCGGTTCTTCGAAAGCAGGTCAGAGCCCCGAGGCAAAGCCTGGTGAGGAACATCCCGGAGGCCTCGCGCGGCAACTTGAGACCCAATGTACGTAAGATCCACGTCGGATTTACGTCGGGCTCGTCGGATTCACGTCGGATGCACGTCGGAATTACGTCGGACTCACGTCGGACGTACGTCGGACCATCGCCGCACGAACGTCGTCCGTCGTATCCGACAGGGCGGACGTGTGGACCAGACGGTACAGCTATTGCGCGCCGCGGGAGGCCTCCAGGAATTTCAGCATAGAAAACCTACAGTCGGGGCGTTGACCCAAGGAACCCTGAATAAGGAGCGAGACCCCTTTTTCCATAAGTTAAACTTCGATTTCCTGTCGAAAACATGAGGGAAGCCTGAGGCAAGCTGTGAAACACTTAAGGAACGCGGAGCCCCTCCCCAACGAAAAGGGTTCCTTCTTCAGGGCCCCGACTGTAAGTGGGGGAAAACTGAACCATCGCAAAGCGCGGAGACGGCGGAGAACAGCGCTCAACCGTGAGATGGCTTCACGCAGGAAGTCCGCTCACGTCGGAGGGGCCACTGGGACACTCACTGGGCTGGTCGATCGGCATCCTGTGATGAGGGTTCGCAGCCGAGGGATTCATCATGCGGCAACACACGTACACACACGAGGAAAGAGAATTGGGCTAAAGAGCAAAACGGGCAGGATGCCACATTCAGCGGCGTGCACCGACTGGTGGCTCGGCTTTGACTGGCTAGGCTGCTTCTGAGACAAGCAATGCAAGCGAACGCAGACAATGTAAGCGAACGCAGACGATCCTGGCCGTCATCCTCCGCCTCATTCTCCTCCTCCTCCTCCTCCTCCTCCTCCTCCTCCTCCTCCTCCTGCTAGTCCCCGTCATCCCCGTATCCTTCTGCATGCACTCCTGGTTCATGCTACCCAGGTCCTTGCTGGCCCCGTACAAAGAGCAAGAAGTTAGAGAAGCAGAGAGGCTCCTACCTGTAGGACGGTGCTTGTGGAGAGGGAGACATACAGCAGGCCTTTCATGTAGGACTGCACAACGACCTTGCGTCTCTTTGGTTTTCTCAAGCGCGCAATGGTGAATGAGGAGGCAGAGGAGATCGGCTGAGGTGGAGGAAGAGCAGAAAGAGAAGAACAACGAGAAAGACGACCTGTGAGCGCGGGCATAACTAACCAACATCCAGAAACGGAAGAGACCCCAACGAGCACAGGCTGGTCGGCACTCACTGAGCCGACCTGTCATCGAACGCCTCGCATGTGTCACCCTAAACCGGTCCCCCTCGATATTAACCCTCCTCTGGGGGCCCATGAGGGGAGAAGCAAATACACCACAACAAAACACACACACACACACGTACGGACATGCACACACACACACACACACACACACACACACACACACACGCGCGCACACAACATAAACACACTGAATTGATATACTAAAGCACACGCGCGCGCTTCGCGCGCTTAGGTTGCAGCAGTTCCTGACTGTAGTCTAAAGTGTTCGGCGTCGGAAGACATCTCATGTAACACGGATCGTGCCCCTCGGGGAGCTCCACCGACGGCCCCAGATGCGCGCTTGGCTTAGAGTTAGAGCCCCCCTGCCCATGCCGACACACTCCTCACAGGGATCGCGTCCCACAGGGATCTAGACCTACGTCACCAGAGACAAGGTTCGCATAGTGGCACGGCCCTCACGCGGATCGCGCCCAGCAAGTAACTGCACTCGCGGCACCAGAGGGAAGCTTTGTAGCGTCGCCTGGTCTACTTTGGCACTCCTCTCACACGGATCATGGCCCGCAGAGAGGTCCACGGACGGTCCCAGAGGCAAGATTCGCATGCCGCCCCCCCCCCCACCCACCCACTTCGGCACACCACTCGCACGGATCGTGGCCCACAGGGATCTCCACCCATGGCCCCAAAGGCAGGGTTCGCTTTGCGTACCCCCGCCCATTGCAGCACACCCCATCACGCGGATCGTGCACACAAGGAACACCACCGAAAAGCCAAGAGACAACGTTCGTACAACGCCCCCCCGCCCATGTTGGCACACCCGTCACGCGAATCAAGTCCCAGAAGGAGCTCCGTCGATGGCATCAATGGGCAGCTTCGCATGGCGCCCCCCCGCCCAGCTCGGAAAATGCCTCGCACGGGTCGCGTCCAAATGTCCACCTGCGGCCTCAGTGGGCGTGTTCGCGCAAGGGCATCCGAATCATTCGGCACACCCTTCACGCGGATCGTGCAAAATGGGAAGGAGTTCAGCTCACCCGTGCACGCGTGCTCCGCAGCAGTCCGTTCTCCGCATCTCCCCGCGGCGCACAGTGTATGAAGAGAGACCGGCGCCCTGCACTACACATGACTGGATGGGTCAGTCGCCAAGCCAATTGCATGCCTATCTATGGCCTTCGGCCCATACTGCTGCTGTGCCTGAGCTTGAGGCCAGAGGAGTCCTGGATACCTGTAGTTCGGGGTCTGTTGGCATGCTTCTCGGGCGCCTCGTGGATCGACGTTGAAAACCCCTTGGGGGCACTTGGGGCCCGTTTGGGGGCCTCTTGGGGCCTCTTCGGGTGCCCTTGAGGGCCCCTTGCGAGCCTGCTGGCTGCCAAGGAGGAGGGGGAGAAGGAACGAGGACCGCGAAGCGCGAACAACTTCGCGCCCTCGTGGGAGCCCTTGATCTGCGATCGTCATGAGCAGACACCTTCAGCAGGAATTGCACGTTCTAAGGGTGATGGGCTTGTCGCGCAAGAAGTCAGGAGCCCCAATCAAGGCTCGCTGGGTGCCCTACTCTGGAATTCTGGCGCTTCCGGGTGGGAAGAGCGCACGCGGTACTAGAGCGTCTTCAGGGGCACAGGGTTAAAAAGAAATGGAGTCGCCCAAGGTGAGCAGATTCGTTCCTCTTGCAGACACTTTCTCTTGGAGGCTCACGACAAGGCCCACACGGGGACTCGTCTAGGGTCTGAACCCTGGCGGGAATCATGGCGCCAGCTTCTGCACAGAGGGGCTTCGGTCCCCTCAAACAGTTTAAAGAAGTCCGCCAGAGCAACTAAGATAGCAGCGCGAGTGCGAATCCGTGCGTTGCGCAACTCGTTGGCCGAATCTAAAGAAAGAATGGTGTCTGCTAAAGCTCGCGGACCACTACACCGCGCCATGCGACAGGAGCCACAACCAGCAGACGAATACGAGACGGAAACCCTCCACCATTTGCAATCCCAGGGATATCGTGGACGCCAAAGCTTTACCATTCATCAAGCTCTGGGCCCCGAAAGACCTGGATGAGGACTCCGTCGTAGCCGCATCTCAAAATATTCGGGCAGCTGCGGAGATCAAGCCGCTCGAGCAGCTCTCTCCAGCAAACATCCGCGCTGCAGCTCACAGTATGAAGCCTCGCGCTGGTCTTGGCGTGGACGTTCTCACGCCGTTGGATTTTGAACGATTACCAGACATCGCACTCAAATAATTATGCATGTTTTATTATGTGGTTGAAGAAACGTGGGTTTGGCCTGTTCAAGTTTCCCTCGCCATCGGCCGTCTTCTACACAAGAAATCCACAAGTAACAGAGTCATTGGAGTGCTGTCAATGACGGCTAGAGTCTGGTATAAAGCCCGCGAGCCAATCGTTCAATCCTGGAGTGCGGCCAACGAGCCGTCATGGGACGCAGCAGTCAAAGGGAACGGGGCCCTCCAGAAGGCTTTCTGGAGAATCCTGGAGGATGAGGTTTCAGGAGCTCTTGGAATGGAGTCTGAGCGTGGCCTTTTGAATGTGCAGTTTGTAATGGCACCATCGACTGGGCTGCACTCATAAGCTGCGCCTTACGGCTGGGATTTCCGGCAGTGATTATGTACTTGGAGTTCGTCTTATGCGTTAGTCCCCGCACGTTGGGGCAGAATGCTTCATATGCATCTCGGGTTTCGCCCACCCGTTCCATCATTCAAGGTATTCGCTCTGGTACAAGTTTTGCTAGGTGCATGGTATACTTCATACTACACAGAAGCACGACTGAGCATCCTCACATGTCCACACGTATTCGGATCGAGAATTTGTCGCAGCGTTGCGTAGGGTCCAGGGCCAGTATCAGGAAACATTTGTACCAAGGGCTCCTAGACACATGTCAAGCTACTTCCAGTGCCGAGCTTCAGGCTCCACCGAAGTCAGTCATCGTCTGCTCGCAAATTCCAGATGCCCACTTCATAGCGGCAAAGCTTCCGCGTGCTGGCTTTGCTGTCAAGGCCACTGGTCAAGAAGGATACTTGGACTTGATCTCGGAGGAGGGAGGAGATACGCGAGGGAGTCCAGGACGAAACGAGTGGTCAAAGGTTTAGCCATGCATTCCAAAGTACTTCGTTTCGCCGGGGCAAGTCGAAGCTATGCCACGACAGTCAGCTCAGTTGTATGCTCACGAGATTCACGGGGTAGTTGGATCAAAGATGATTCTTTGTCGCAGGCAAATTGGGGCAGTATGCGCATCAGGCAAACGAGGCAGGTGCCTCACCACTTTGCTTGACTTGCGAGCTCCAGGAGGCGACCCGTCGTTGCCTTACCCTCACAAGTGCCTTTGTTCTGGCTGCGCAGCTGGTTATCGACCCCTTCGATGCGCTCAGGAGTCCATCGGGCCTGGCCTCAGTGGTTAGCTGAGCTCAAATATGTTACCCCTGCTTACCGTTCCCGCCATATACGTGGGCCTATAGGTGCTGTGATGTTTCATTTACTGGGGGCTGGTTGGGACCCGCTGGAACCCGATTTCTGAAGGCTCCTTTGAATTTCCCCGAGGATTTGGACGCTTGGAAGTTTCCTGAAGATGGTCCCTCGGGGAATTTCATGTTGGACTCTCCAGGGCCAGTTCTGCGTAACATTGACCTTCCATTCGTGCCAGCGTGTGGCGGCAGGCGTCGCGGCACTGGTGTGGGGAAGGCATGCAGGATGGCATTGACAATGTTTCATTTCGGCGGCTGTTAACACATTTAAAGGCAGTTCCACAGGGCGAGTGGTTGAGTGAGTTGATGGCTACCACTGCGGTTGGAGGCGATTGGCCCAGGGCCCGCGATAAACAGGAAGTTAACGGGCCCCTGGATGACCTGTGCCTTAGGTGCCAGGAGTGTTCGGAGACTGCGTTTTACAGGTGTTGGGAATGTAAAGACAACGTCGGGGCTTCAGCGTACGAACAGTCTGATTGTCTGATCGCTGAAGCTGTTTCCGAAGCCGAGTCCGATCCAGCGTTTTGGTTACGAAGCCTGTTGTCGTCCAGAAGCACAGCCCTACCTCCTCCAGAGTGCAGCGAAGAATGGTGGATCGCTGGATGCAACGCTGTTCTCGAGACCTCTCTCGGTCGTGGCACTGAGCTTGAGCCACTGCTGACTTTTGGAGAAGCGTCGGGAGGGAAGGGTTCAGGTGACGGCAGGTTTCGACGTGTGGGACGTGCGGTGGCGTCGTTCTTGGCCGTGCTTCCAGCTGCAGTTCGAGCCTCTATTTCAGGAGGCCTCCCTTGAAGGGGCCCTGGGACACACAAATAAGTACACACAAATAAAAAGATTCACCATATTTTCCCATATGTTCTGGGTTTTTTGTCTTCCCCACCAATTCCCATATTTTCCCATATTTTCTTGGGAATCGACGATTAATTGTGCCTGTGTGTTTTTTTCCCCTCCTGATCCCTGGTGACAGGCAGTCGGTTCCCAGAGGTGCGCCGCTGGCACTTCCAGCGTCGACGGGTCTTGTCGTGTATGCGACTGACAACGAGTCTGGGAGTTCTGGCTTCTTTGGCCAAGAGTGTCTGCATCCCTCGGGGGTTGATGCTGACTTGTGATTGAAAATCGGGACCCACATGCGCTCCAGAGTTGGTCAAGTTTCGATGCGATTCGTGGACTCACATTTGGACAGTCTGGAAAAGGGGCTTCAGCCCGAGCTTGTGGCAGGCAACGTCGTGGCCGACCATCCTGCCTCCCAGGCGGCCGCCCGCGCTCAGACTCCGCAGGCCGTGAGGCACGGCGTCCCCAAGCAGAAGCGGCGCGCCTGGCCGGTGAAGCATCGCCTGCTGCGGTCGCCCTTG